TGCAATTATAATGTAATGGCTAGTGTGCTTTCCTAATGTGAAGATGATATTGGTAGTGTAATGGCTAATGTGCTATTATAATTTGAAGATGATGTTGGTGGTGTAATGGCTAGTGTGCTTTCCTAATGTGAAGATGATATTGGTGGTGTAATGGCTAGTGTGCTTTCCTAATGTGAAGACGATATTGGTAGTGTAAAGGCTAATGTGCTTTCCTAATGTGAAGACGTTATTGGTAGTGAAATGGCTAAGCGTGCAATTATAATGTGAAGATGATGTTGGTGGTGTAATGGCTAATGTGCTATTATAATGTGAAGATGATATTGGTAGTGTAATGGCTAGTGTGCAATTATAATGTGAAGATGATATTGGTGGTGTAATGGCTAGTGTGCTTTCCTAATGTGAAGATGATATTAGTAGTGTAATGGCTAAGTGTGCAATTATAATGTGAAGATGATATTGGTGATGTAATGGCTAGTGTGCTTTCCTAATGTAAAGATGATATTTGTAGTGTAATGGCTAAGCGTGCAATCATAATGTAAAGATGATATTGGTAGTGTAATGGCTAAGCGTGCAATTATAATGTGAAGATGATATTGGTGGTGTAATGGCTAATGTGCTATTATAATGTGAAGATGATATTGGTGGTGTAATGGCTAAGCGTGCAATTATAATGTGAAGATGATATTGGTAGTGTAATGGCTAGTGTGCAATTATAATGTGAAGATGATATTGGTGGTGTAATGGCTAGTGTGCTATGATAATGTGAGGATGATATTGGAGGTGCAATGGCGAATGTGATATCCAAATGAAAGGATAATATTTGGTGGTATAAAGGCCAGTGTGCTATTATAATGTGAAGATGACATTGCTGGTGTAATGGCTAGTGTGCTATTATGATGTGAAGATGGTATTGGTGGTGTAATCGATAGTATGCAATTAAAATGTGAAGATGGTATTGGTGGTGTAATGGCTAGTGTGATTTCCTAATGTGAAGATGATATTGATGGTGTAATGGCTAGTGTGCTTTGCTAATGTGAGGATGGTATTGGTGGTGTAATGGCTAGTGTGCTTTCCTAATGTGGAGATGGTGTTGGTAATGTAATGGCTGTGTGCTTTCCTCATGTGGAGATGGTGTTGTGGTGTAATGGCTAGTGTGCTTTCCTAATGTAAAGATGATATTTGTAGTGTAATGGCTAAGCATGCAATCATAATGTAAAGATGATATTGGTAGTGTAATGGCTAAGCGTGCAATTATAATGTGAAGATGATATTAGTAGTGAAATGGCTAAACGTACAATTATAATGTGAAGATGATATTGGTGATGTAATGGCTAAGTGTGCAATTATAATGTGAAGATGATATTGGTAGTGTAATGGCTAGTGTGCAATTATAATGTGAAGATGATATTGGTGATGTAATGGCTAGTGTGCTTTCCTCATGTGGAGATGGTGTTGGTTGTGTAATGGCTAATGCTATGATAATGTGAGGATGATATTGGAGGTGCAATGGTGAATGTGATAGCCAAATGAGAGGATAATATTTGGTGGTGTAAAGGCTAGTGTGCTATTATAATGTGAAGATGATATTGGTGGTGTAATGGCTAGTGTGCTATTATAATGTGAAGATGGTATTGGTGGTGTAATTGATAGTATGCTATTACAATGTGAAGATGGTATTGGTGGTGTAATGGCTAGTGTGATTTCCTAATATGAAGATGATATTGGTGGTGTAATTGCTAGTGTGCTTTGCTAATGTGAGGATGGTATTGGTGGAGTAATGGCTAGTGTGCTTTCCTAATGTGGAGATGGTGTTGGTAATGTAATGGCTGTGTGCTTTCCTCATGTAGAGATGGTGTTGTGGTGTAATGGCTAGTGTGCTTTCCTAATGTAAAGATGATATTGGTGGTGTAATTGATAGTATCTATTAAAATGTGAAGATGATATTGGTGGTGTAATGGCTAGTGTGATTTCCTAATGTGAAGATGGTGTTGTGGTGTAATGGCTAGTGTGCTTTCCTAATGTAAAGATGATATTGGTGGTGTAATTGATAGTATGCTATTAAAATGTGAAGATGATATTGGTGGTGTAATGGCTAGTGTGATTTCCTAATGTGAAGATGATGTTGGTGGTGTAATGGCTAGTGTACTTTGCTAATGTGAAGATGGTATTGGTGGTGTAATGGTTATTGTGGTTTCCATAAAATATATTTAAAGATGATATTGGTGATGCAATACTATTACAATGTGAAGATGATATTGGTGATGTAATGGCTAGTGTGCTATCCATAGAACTTATGTGAAGATGATATTGGTACTGAATTACTATACAATTCCACTGTTTGTAAATATTGACATTGACATGTGACATTTACCAAAACATTTTATTTGCCTTTGAACATCATGTTTAAGTTGTGTGAAGTTATGGTGGGTTTGTAATCTTTCAAAGCTTTTTACACAGCGATAATTATGTCAATATTGTGTTTAAGCTTATTTTAGGCATATAATTATAACAGAAAAAATAGCTTACAATGAGAAAAATAATTATTCAATGTACTATTTATGCAATGTAATTACAAGAGTGCACACACAGAAATTTGTCGCCTGCTTTAAATAACATAGATTGATTTTATGTTGAGAGTCTGTAATATGAAGGTTTGACTACAAGTACATGTATCACAGAAACTTAACATTATCAATGATCCATGTAAATGAGGTCAAGGTAAGATTAACCCTGCCAGACAAACATTTAAACCCGCTGCAATTGTTTGCACCTGTCCTAAGTCAGGAATCTGATGTTCAGTAGTTGTCGTTTGTTGCTGTGGTTCATAAGTGTTTCTCATTTCTCGTTTTTTATATAGATTAGGCTGTTGGTTTTCCCGTTTGAATGGTTTTACACTAGTCATTTTTGGGGCCCTTAATAGCTTGCTGTTCGGTGTGAGCCAAGGCTCCGTGTTGAAGACCGTACTTTGACCTATAATGGTTTACTTTTATAAATTTTGACTTGGATGGAGAGTTGTCTCATTGGCACTCATACCACATCTTCTTATATCTATGTAAATCTTACAATCATACTATGCATCAATCATAGTTAGCATTTTGCTTATAGTATCTGAGAATCAGACATAACCATGAAACTTAACATTGACTAATGAACCATGAAAATGAGTTCAAGGACAGAAGAACCCTGCCAGACAGACATATAGACCTTACAATCATTCCATACACCAAACATAGTTGACCTATTGCAAAAAATATCTGATAAAAGAAAAAAAAACAACACAAAAACTTAAGGTTGACCAATGAACCATTAAAATGCAATGAAGCTTTTAGCAGGGATTAGCATGCTTACCTTAAGAAATTTGGCAGTGTGATTGTTTTTATTTATCTGATCTTTTTGATGACCAAGATAGTATAAGGGTTGGTATGGTAACCTTTTTTGCAATGAATCTTACAGGTTTTAGTTTCAGATTGTGCTAAGTTTTAGCTACCCTATTATTTCAGCATATTAAGGCTACTAAAAATCAAAATGACACTGCATATTAAGTCATTATTTTGAAAACTTTCAAATAAATCTCAGTTACTTAAGAAATATTTTCATTCAATTGAAAGAAATATAAAAGTTTTAGTAATTTATGAACAGTATCTGAAAACTGCTCAGCTTTAGACAGACCTCTCATCTACATAACAAGGAATTATTTGAAACTGGAACATAATTTGTATAATGAAAACTAACCCAATTAAGGAGGGTTAGCCATGCATGCATGGCTAAGGGAGTTAGTTAGATCATACTGAAATATCAGTGAAAGACCCACTAAAGTTGGGTTAGTTTTCATCATACATTTCCTATAAATTTTCCAGAATTTAAAATTATTCCTGATTCAAATAATTCCTTATTTATGTACTTTAACCAAAACAGCAACCATAAAAAATGTCTATGTTAAAAGTAAAATTTTGTTCAAGTTTTTTTTAAAATGCCATTTTTAAAAGCCTAGTTCAATACAATTAATAAAGTTAAAGTATTTACCAAAAGAATAAATGTATCTGCCGGAAACTGAAAAAGCTTTGTACTGGTTGAGGACCATTTCTGTCAGAAATTCACAGTTTTTTGTCAAATAAGTTTTAAAAGGAACTCTTTGTGGAAATGTTCTTTTAACATAACAAAAGTATGTTTAGCACTATAGACTCGGACTTTAATTCCTCTTATAAACAACAAATAGCGGATTACTAATATGACGATTTTTGCAAAAATTTTAAAATACGATGACCAGTTAACGTCACTTTTGAATCTCTTCATTAAATGATGGAATTTACATTTAATCTGTACATTAATGTTATATTTTGCATTTGTGTAGTAAGAAAAGAAGAAGGTACGTCAATTGAACCAAAATACATTGTCATCATGACCATTAATTTAAAAAGTCTCCTTCCTGCTCTGAATGTGATCTTTATGTCACTTGAAATCAACCTCTTACACTGTATTGAAGAGACCTATAAATTTTAATTTTGTAATTTATAAATCTTTTTAATTCTTTGAAACAAGAGTGCACACGCTGAAATGTATCACCTGCATTACTGACCACTGATTTCATGTAGAAAGTCTTAAAGACAAGTATCACAAAAACTTTTTTAAATATATCCATGGCAATGAAGTAAAGGTCAGTAATCCTGTCAGACAGACATGTACACCTGACAATTATTATTCAATTTACCAAATATAGTTGACATATTGCTTATGGTAATTGAAAAACAAGACCAAAACACAAAACTTAACATTGACCAATGAACAATGAAAATGAGGTCAAGGTCAGATGAAACCTGCCAGACTGACATGTACCCATTTCAATCATTCCATACACCACATATAGTTGTCCCACTGCTTATAGTATTTGAGAAACAGACCTAATCACGTAACTTTGACCTTGATCACTGATCCATTTAAGTACGGTTATATTGGTTGATGCAAATAAAGAAAACCATTTAATGTGAAAAATGAGATTTGGAGACTTGTAAAATATTTATTTCCAGACATTCACTTATAAGGACAAATAATGTTCTGCATACAACAAAACCATTCTTGTTTTGTTTTAGGCTTCATCTGAAAAATTGATTTGCATTAAAATCTTGAAAACTGTACCAACATCAGGTAACATGTGATAAATGGATGTTTCATTAAAACTGTTTTCATATTAAGGTAGATAGGGTGTCTTCCTCCATCTTGAATTTTGAAATACCAGAAAACAATCGGTCTAGATCTTTAAGAAAATGTGCAAATTTTGAGAGTAGTAGGTAATTCATGTGTAAGAATTTTCATTTCAATATAGAAAATGACATGTTTTATCATATTTATGGTTGTATTTTACAAAAAACAGAATACTTTTGTTTGATTCAATTTTTTCCAACTTTGCCACATAAGGGGAGGCAACTCAAATGTAAGGGCAGATAATTCAGATAAAGTTACTTTTACAATAGAATGTGTTAGGAATTTACCTATTTTATTATGTAGCAAGAAACCGGATCCCGTGACCCCATTTTTTCTTTTTCTTATCTGAAAGCATTATATTAGAGCTATCTTCTCATATCTTGTCTCAAAATTCTATGGTGTAGTTTTCGTTTTATGGCAGAAAATTGGGTTTTCCATGCATAATCTATACAAAATGTGTCAATTTTGCACAACATGTAGCGTGAAAATAAGCCCCGTGACCCATTCTTTTTATTATTATTTTTAAAAAAGCATGATATAAACTACATTTTGGCAAATTATTAAAAAATTCTATGGATTATAATTTAGACACCCCATCTACCTTAAACTCTAAAAATCATTTTCTTCTGAAAAAAAAACCCCAAACCAAATAGCATATATAATAACTAACCTTTATCTCATGTATTTTTAATTAATACTAAAGAATGAACAATAAAAGTAAACATAATATATTCATTAATAGAATTTTATTTCAAAAATGAAAACAATATTTAATAGTTATTTTATGTAGCAAATCACTGAACATTGACTGATGATCTCTGCATCCCCATACTGCTGAAATACAGATACATCAGACATTGTAAATTGTAAGATCATGTCAGATTTTGATTTTATCGATAAAAATAATAACTGTAATTTTGCAGGTGTTGGCAGAAATCATCATCGTATTACAGAGGGTTCCTATTGGACTCTTTGTAATACCTGTATTAATTTCTATGTCAACCTTCAAAGGACCTCATTTTGTACATACAAGGCATCTGTCAATGATCTAGTATTTGTAGAATTAAATCTTGGAAAAGGAAAAGAATAAAGCAAACAAATATGCCTTTTGACTGACTTTTACTGCTTTGCATTTTTCTTTGTACTTGTTGTTATTACACCGATCAATGTCAAAGGTAACATCAACACTAACTTAACCCCAAGAGATATCTATGTGTAATCCATATATCAGAAACCTCAACAGTGGTTGTCAATGTAAAATACTGACTCAACTCATGTTTTGACCAGCAATTCATAGTATGTTGGCACTTGTCCATACTTGAGTGGTGACCTCTAGCTTAGATATTAAGTTTTTATCAACTTTGGTGGTGTCTTAACTAAAATTTACATCACATCTCCTTTTATTCATACCAAACTAACTTACATAGATAAGATCAAAGAAGGCTTTAGATGAAGTTATAAATGATTACTTATCCACATTACAATTATTGAATTTATGAATGACTACCTATACTAATAACAAGTGTGAGCACACAGAGATGTCTTGCCTGTGTATATAAGGATTATGGCTGAAAAACTTTAAAGTCTTTTGTGAGTTTTCATAGTAGATAAGGCAATCTTATATCTCTCATTTGCCATAGGCAGGACACAACATATAAATAAACAATAAAAGATATCTTCTAAAGATAAAAAGAGAAATAAAAGCATACAATTATAAGTATCTCATAAGTATCTAGGGAGGTTCTGACTAAAATTAAAGAACTTTAGTGAGCGCGCTCACATACCCCACGTCCCCACATTGTCATTGGAGAAATAAAATAAGTGTAAGAAAAAAAATTGAATCGTAATTTCCTGTCAATATGCACATCTACATAGTATGTCCTTATTATCTACGAAGTTTCATGAAATTCTGTGGTGTGGTTTCAGAGGAGTTGCGATGACAAACTGTTGCAGTAGTACATTGAAGCAAATAAGTTCAAAGGGGCGTAACTTCTAGAAAAAAAATTGAATCGTAATTTCCTGATGATATGCACAACTACATAGTATGTCCTTATTATCTAAAAAGGTTTCGTGAAATTCTGTTGTGTGGTTTGAGAGGAGTTGCGATGACAAGAAACAGGACTGACGGACTGACGGACGGACAGACGGACAGACAGACGGATGGGTCAAAAACATTATACCCTCTGCAACCCGTTGCATGGGGTATAATGAGTTTTGGGGTGAACATTAATGGATAGCTTATCAATGGCACAACAAAAGACATTTAAAAGGTCACCACATAGTCCAAAGCAATAAACAAGAGTCCTTTTTATACATTAAGCAGTCAAACTGTTTAGTTTCAGCAAATTCAACAAAGACAATCACAAATTTCCTTTCAACATTGAATACCTAAATATATAAAAAATATTTTTATAAAAAAGACGACCATTGATCAGGTTTCTAACTTAACATACAGAGAAGAATGCACAACTAATATCAGTTTAGCAATAGACTGTTAACAAGCATATTTGAGTCCAAAAGAGATTTTAAAAAATCCAGAGGAATTAATGATACGCAAGAAGAGTTACAACAATAGCATTATAAAAATAATCAGTTTTAAAATGAGAGACATCTAATGTTATATTTGCCTAGGCAGCAGCAATGATGCTGTTAGAGAACCACTTATACAAATATGCCAAAGATCGGGTTATTTAATTTTTTGTCACGCACAATCTGTCATAAATACATAGATGAAAGTCAATGAAGTCATTAAAGTATAAACAAATAGCAGAAAGATAAAACAATAGAATTAATAATATATTTACATTCCAAATTGAGTCTCAACTAGTTTTCTGCTCTTTGGTCGGGTTGTTGTCTCTTTGACACATTCCCTATTTCCATTCTCAATTTTATTATTAGAAAAATATTGCACAATTCATTATAGGAAAATATGCATGTTTTATTCACTTGCGAAAATTTCATTAGTGCTAATTAGGATTTCAACCAACATATAAAATAAAGGGGAAAAGCAACAGCAGACCACCTAGATCGCTGGAAAAAACGTGGAATAAAATTTCACATTCAATTGAGGGTTATGGCAGGGCAGCATAATACAACTACAGCATGTTGACAATGGAGAGTAAACAAGTGTATATTGAACAGATATATCATGTTAAGGAGGGGTATTTGCAAAAAATACCAGTCGAGAGAATGTTAAATTTCGCGAGCCGTAAGGCGAGGGAAATTCATTCTCAAGACTGATATTTTTTGCAAATACCCCTCAAGAACATGCTATATCTGTTTAATTACACCGAATGTTAACGTAAAAAACGCATTGATGATCGTGACATAAAACGCATTGATGATCGTGACATTACAATCGTCCAGTCGGATAGAGTATTTTTTGGCGATACCACGGCAGAGAGGGTAAGAAAGGCATATCCTTTTTACATATACCCCGGCGCTGTTAAAAATGAACGATATTCATTTGATAAAAGTAAATTGGTGAAAAATACACTGGCTATCAACCAATCAAAACCCAGGATTCTTACATAAGGTGTAATTATAAATACTAATGTGCATATTGTCTTGACTGGCACAAGACAATATGCATATTGGTATTTAATATATATGCTGGACACAATACTATGCTAGAAACTGTTAGTTCCTTGACCCATTCTTTTATAGGTATGGGACATTCAAAAGTTATGTAAAATCTGTTATTAACTAGATACAAAATAAAAACTTCTACGTATCAAATGAAGGTATGGCATTCTGTAAAACAAGTTTAACAGTACCACAGTCAAGAAAAATAACCTTGGAAAATCAGACATTTCACTGTACCAAATGTCACTAAAACACACTGGAAAAGTCTGTCTTGTATGATTTGCGTTAACAAAACAATCCTGGTTAAATTTAAGAGTTAGGGTTAGAGTCCATTCACCAGATAAATACTAATCCCATCTTTAAACAATACGTAATGAGACAAAGGTAAATAAATATGAGATCTAAACCATGGAGCCAGGAAAATCTTCTTAAAAAACTTAGTACTATGTATATAAATTGATAAGATCAAGAACTAATTTCACAAAAAATCTTACAAGAAAAAATACTTGTAAGTCATGAACATTTCAGTATAACTTACGATCAATTTTTATCATAAGATTTTTTGTGAAAAGAGACACAGAAAAATTTCCATTGTATGGTCATCGAACACCAAATAGCTTAACAAGAAAAGAAAATATTCCGAGTAAAGTTATAAAAATTGGTTAGTTCCTATGCAACTACATAATATATATTACTACATCAAAAATATAATATCAATCATAAACCATCTGAACTGCTTCTTTGAAAAGCAGAGGAAACATAACCTGAGTACAATAAAATTAAACAAAACCAAGCAGCCAAGACTCTATCCCTGTGTTAAGCACTTATACCAGACTTATTCTAATATCAGCAAAACATTACAAGAATGAAGAACTACAAATGCAACAATTTTATACACTATGCTGGGATTCTCTGACACAAATAATAAAACAGGATTTCATGTAAACATCCTACATTTAAATGGCTCTTGTATGAACTTCTTTCATTACACCAGTCAATTGATACTGTTTCACTTAAGCTAATAATTACATGATTGAAAGTTCAAAAGTTTGTAATTAGTAAATGTTACTTATTAGTTTTTATTTTCAGAAAATAAAATTAAAAATGTACCTCCTCAATTAAAAATTTCATAGGCATAAAACATCATATCAAACATTTCCAATCATAGAACAACGTTAGTACATGACAATAAATTGTACATGAAACATAAATGCCTTTGTTTGGCATATAAGAAGAATTTTAAAATCACAGAAGCACCATTGGTGCATACGCTAAGTTGTGATCTTAATGGATTTGTAGTAGTAGAAACAGATTTTTTGTGGAGTTTAATGATGACTGCAATGACAAATATGTCAACTATTGGGTAACAAAAAATTTCCCTAAATTTCAGTCTGTACATTGCTGTTGTAACATTGACTTTTGACCTCAAATCAAGAGGGGTCTTTTTCACTCCAAGGTGTATTTTCTAGTAAGGTAAATATCTGATTTATGGCTCTCCATCTCAATAGGTATTAAAGGATAGCATCAAGAAACCAATACTTTGCCTAAATATCAGTCTTTAAATAGCTGCTGTGACCTTGACATCTATCCTACCAACCTCTAAATCAATAGGGGTCTTCCTCACCTCATGAGGCAATACTAAACCAGTTTTGGTATCATTTGGATATATGGTTTAAAAGACAATCTCTTTGACATTTACCTTTGATTAAAAAATCTATAGGTATCTTATTCTTCTATGGGTCATTATCAAGCCAAATTTGGTAAAGATATTCCTTATGACAAAAGTTTTTTTCCAGAAACCAAAATTTTGACGCTGGATGCGGGATTTAAAACTGTCATCCTTAATTTGAAATTATAATTGATTAATTGTTTGATTGATGTTTGGTAAATGGTCCAAAAATATTTGTTATATGCCAACTGCGAAACTATAATGAATATAAAGATATAATCTTTGAAAGTGTGTATATGACTGGTCAAATAGCATCAAGGACATCAACCTTACTGGTATTTTTCTTCTAATAAGTTTTCAATAAAACTAAAATTACCTCATCTCACTTCAATCACTTACTACTGAGCAAACAAATGCACATAAAATAACTATTATTTTAAGCATTTTTAACAGCATGTTTTCTAGTATTCTAAATCAGTTTTTTTCATTAAATGATTACAATTTAACATATCAAAATGAATCTTTTGTTTATGTTTAACATATATAAATCAATATTACATTTTTAAAACTCCAGAATCAAAATTCAAACACTAAATCATTAAAAGTATCAAATTATACTCATGATTTTCATTTTTAAATAAACCTTATTTATTACACCTAATCAATCTTATTGAGTATAACAGGAATATAAAAATTCCAAGAGAGACTAGATTCCCTGTGCACGCTATAGTATAATAGATAACGAAAAAGCATGTTATAATATGTTTAAAAATTACATATCTTATTAAATAATAAAAATATAAATAGTAGGATATCAGGGGTATACCTGACTTAGACAGCAACCAAAAAAAATAAAACCAGACATGACATCTAAAGTTCAACATATTGACTCAATAATAACAAACTATCAAAACTATATGTCAAGTTCAAATTATCAACAGTCTAGATTATTATAAATAAATTAAACAAAGATCACTAAAGTTCTTTAAAGGACAAAAACATAATACACATAATGGGCATGTGGGTATGAGTAGTTGAGTTTCATACAAATTCATCAGATGAAATCAATTTAGTGATATCAATTACATTGAAAAGGATAAATTAAATGAAAAAAGATGGACGAATGAATACATAGGCAAATTGCATGAATATGATGTCCATCATACAAGAGCACTGTTGCATAGTACATGTAGTATTTCAAAAGGATGAAGAATGTTACATAGAAATTGGAATGATCAACAGAATTTCTTTGATGACTCGACTCTATCAGCTATATCCCCAAAATGATGTTGGTTTTTCCTTTACTAGTCGATCTCTGGTTACAGATGCAGTAAAAGATGACACACAGTTTCCTATAAAATGCTCAGATTTCTGTAATATTCCAATGTCTATAATAGGAAGGTGTGGATCTAAATGGACAATGTTGATCTGAAAAAAACCCAAACAAACTAAAACAATGACAATTGCTGATTCATTAGAACATGAAGAAGACCAATTTTTATAATTTTTTTTGTTGGGGGCAGGGGATTTGAAGCAAACATTTAATGTATATTTTCAATCATTCTTACAGAAGCAGTGAAATCCACAAGATTATGAATCCGTAAACCATGAAAATTGGAAAACATGTAGGTGACTATGCTGTGGTCAAAACAAAATTTAAAATGAACGCTGTGACTATCCCCAATATTCATAATTTTGCACCAGTAAAGGGTGGGCTAATTTGCTATCAAGGTATAATCACAACAGATGCAAAAGATAATGGTAATCTGGGATCAGAAATTAGATCTTGTCTCCAATGCTTAATATCTAGAAAGTACTTCTTGAAACTATAAGTAGCTATCATGGAACAAATATAGGTCATGTACTGCACAACTCTGTTACTGCAATCTAATTAAAATACAGATCCCACATCCACACTTCGCACACAAGGATCTGACGATGCTTTGACATACTTTCTATCATGAAGACTTTTTTAAGATCCTTGGGTTGAATTTGGAAGCAGAAATTTAAACAGAACTTACTGATGACAAAGATTGATAAATGAAAGAAATATTATTTAAAATCTTCTGAGAGAACAATTGCACAAATAGCTATACAAGAATCATTGCCGTGTTAATCTAATAAGATTTTTCAGATGAAGTTACTGCCCTACTAGTCCAGTTAACAACCTCTTCCCACCACAAGTCGTTTTGCCCAACTGATCACATGTTTCCTGGCTTGGGAATGACCCATAAAGAATGGCAGGGTTAGAATTCATTTTATTATCTTCAAACTATTCTAATAAAACTTTTCTGGAATACCAATGAATACTAAAACTTAGAATTAATTGTTAATATTGTAAAGAATTGATTGTTGGTTGATAAATGTCCAGAGACAAAAGAAAGATAAAGATAAATAACTTACTTCAGGACCTAAAACTCCTCTTAATTCATTCATTAAATTCCTCTGGTCTGTTGCAATGAATAAATGTTTGACTTTAGTTTCTTCAACAACTTTTTTGGTAAGTCTGAAAATCAGATAAAATGAGAATACATATTGAAATAAAAATAATGAGATGTGGTATGATTGCCAAGTTTTGATTATTCTAAAAGATGTCCATAAAGGAAATCTATCAGCCTTATGGCTAATCAAAAGTCATTGGGAAGTATTTCTGATTTTTATGAATATCAGAAGTTTAATAATAACAAATTGTTTCACATAAAATTTGGTTTTCTTGAAATTCTGCCCAAAGAATTTTGTTTAAAATTGAAAAAAAACTATAGCTGTGAACATTTCTGTATTAATGAAATGAAAAATTACAGGGGACCACTGGTTGGGTTTGTGGTCTATATCATTTAAATATTTGTGATGTATAAAATAAGTGCTATTCTAGAAAAAAATGTATGGGGGGGGTTGAAAGGCACTTTATATTAATAATACATGGGTATCAGAGCAACTTTTCACACTATAATGCACAATGATTTTCAATTACAATTATCTAGGCGGCAGGTGCTGAAACAAACTGCCTTCCACCCCCTCCATACATTTTTTTTCTGGAATAGCCGTAAATGAAAAGTACCATTTTACAACATGAAAACTGATTTTGTAGAGTGGCGTTATGTTTTTCTGGTGTGTGTGTACATCCCTCCATCTGTAAGTCTGTCTGTCTCATATCAGGTTAAAGTAATGGTTAAAGTAGGTTAACATTTTTAATTTAGGTGGTTTATACTCAATCTACATAAAAAGACTAGTAATTAACCTTACTGAAAAAAAGGAATATAGTGACCACATATATATTTGATTATTTTAAAATAAATGTTCATAGCATATCACTTTTAAATGAAACCCGTAGAACAGGATGCATTTGTTCGCCATTCCTTATGTGCATTTTATACATTTATAGATACACTGTACAAAATTTCAATTGATTATAGCTCTGAAAGTATAAATGCAACATATATCATTTTGTCAATATATGTATTTCAATGAGTTCAAATGCATATAAAATTTAATAAAAACTGAAATATAGCTAAATTACATATACTTTCCCTTAATCCCTTCACTACTGATATTTAGTAAGTTGTTTATTGTTCTCTGTATTGGGATGGAATTTCTATAATCTTTGTTAAAAGGCATCACAAGATCGTGATTGGATGGGGGAAAATGATAGAAAAATAAGATACAAGAAACATTAAGTACACAAAAGTTTCAAATATCAAATGACATGGATGTATTTATGACCAGGGGAGAGAATGACACTTCATTAATACCTTTATGGTACGTTACCTTAAAACTTCTGTTGTGGATGGATAGCAGAGATTTGCTGGTAGTTTTTCATAATTTTTATATCCAAGACATTGTGGTGATGCCATGTATCTTATCTGATCTTTGGCATGTTCACATGCTCTTTCCTATAAAATAAAAACAACAATTCATGAAATACAAGTTGGGTCAAAGGTCTCTAGATGGGGAGTATTATTTCGATCAAGGTTATCTGACAACAGTCTGTCTGACATAATCTCCTTATGACAGCTATAAATGCTCTATATTGTTTTTTTCATCTATTCTAAACAAAATAAGATTTTTTTTTTAAAAGAATCTTGCATACATTATTCCGATCTTGATTGATTCCAATTTGCCACATACTTTTAGAGAAGAGAATGAAAATATGACTTCCCATTGGGTTCAAGTAAAACCTAGGTGGCATCATTGCCTTTAGGTATCTAATCATCAAGAAACCTTAGCAAAAAGTCCCTAAATCATTGTTCTTGTAATATTTTCAACCGATTTAGCTCTGTTGTTTCACAAGTGAAAAAAATGGAATAATAACTTCAAAACTGCTCGTCACAGGCAAGTTTTTGATAGAAAGAGACAAAATGAAGAGTTTACATACCGGGACTTCCACACAATATTCAGTCTTAGGTTGATTAAAATTGGTCTGTTTAGTTTCAGAGAAAATAATACTGTAAATTTAGAAATTATTGCGTGCATTTATTATTGCTATTTTTCAAGAATGAACAAAAATGCGAGTTTAATCATTGCGCTTTTAGGAAAAGCTTTATACAGATATACATAACAGATATCAGAATGCGAGTTTTTATTTTTGTGATACTCAAGGAGTCGCATTATTCGCATTAATAAAAACCTCACAATAATTTCTGAATTTACAGTATTAACAATTGAAAGTTAAGTTAAATCCAACGAATAATAATGAATCTAAAGTAACCTATTTTATATTTTGTTGATCTTTATAATACAATCATATTTTATCCAATCTGCTCCATTGCGTAGATGTATACCAACATACAGATCATTGTTGAAAAGTTTGTGAATATGATGATCTATCTCGTCCTGTATCTTATCTGACCACTGTAGATATTTTTGTAGTGGAACATCTTTTTCTGCCACAGGGAAAACTGCTGGGGCACCTCGCAAAGCAAGCACTGGATACTTCTCAGGTGGATACCTTAACCAAAGATAATAAAAGTCAAGATCTATACAGATTCTACCACTGCATCAAGTATGATACGATATTTCTCCTCTTGAGGTTTTTTAAATGTTGAAAATTTTAACTGTCCAGAGTGGAGAATATTGTATTACACAAGATTCAGTGGTGGAATCTGATTCTCTTATGATTTTTAGACAATATGGAGACAAATTTTCAGTAATCTGCAAAAGCATGTGTTCTTTATATATGATGTCATCAGGCATGGTCACTTTTTTGTGACTCAGAATAGGAAATTCAGAATATAGCAAGAAAATTTGACGTCATAATTGAGTTTTGACCAATGAAGAACTGAGATCAAATAAACCACAGGTTTATTATAAACAAGAGTGCACATGCTAAAATGTCTAGCCAGCTAATTTTTAAATCATAATTGAATAATAATGATGAGGTCAAGGTCAAATGAATCATGCCAGACAGACATGTACACCGTGCAATCAGTCCATACACCAAATATAGTGGTCCTATTGCTAATAGTACCTGAATAACAGATTAATCCACAAAACTTAACATTGACCATTAAATCATGAAAATGAGATCAAAGTCATATGAACCCTGCCAGACAGACATGTACACCTTAGAATCATTCCATACATCAAATATAGTTGACCTTTTGCTTATTGTACCCAATAAACTGACAAAACCATGAAAAATTAACATTGGGCAATAAACCATGAAAATGAGGCTATTTCTCAGGAATTTTAAGCAAAAGGGTTTCTATATTTTGTGTATGGAATGATTGTAAGGTGTACATGCCTGTCTGGAAACTCATATGAAACCTGCCAGACAGGCATGTACACCTTACAATCATTCCATACACCAAATATAGTGAAACTTTTGCTTTAAATTCCTGAGAAATAGCCTGAACCACAAAAAATAAACATTAATCAATGAACCATAAAATAAAGGTCATGGTCAGAGTGCACACGCTGAAATGTCTAGCCTGCTTATTTCTAAATCATAATTGAATAATAATGATGAGGTCAAGGTCAAATGAACCATGCCAGACAGACATGTACACCTTACAATCATTCCATACATCAAATATAGTTGACCTTTTGCTTATTGTACCCAATAAACTGACAAAACCATAAAAAAAATTAACATTGGCCAATAAACCATGAAAATGAGGCTATTTCTCAGGAAAATTAAGCAAAAGGGTCACTATATTTGGTGTATGGAATGATTGTAAGGTGTACATGCCTGTCTGGAAGCTCAAATGAAACCTGTCAGACAGGCATGTACACCTTACAATCATTCCATACACCAAATACAGTGACCCTTTTGCTTAAAATTCCTGAGAAATAGCCTGAACCACAAAAAATTAACATTAATCAATGAACCATAAAATAAAGGTCATGGTCAGATGAATAAAATTGAGAATGGAAATGGGAAATATGTCAAAGAGACAACAACCCGACCAAAGAGCAGACAACAGCCGAAGGCCACCAATGGGTCTTCAACGCATCGAGAAAATCCCGCACTGAGGTGGTCCTCAGTTGGCCCCTTAATAAAATTGTGTACTAGTTCAGTGAAAATGGACGTCACACTAAACTCCAAAACATATAAATGAACTAAAATTAAAAAACATACAAGACTAACAAAGGCCAGAGGCTCCTGACTTGGGACAGGCGCAAAAATGAGGCGGTGTTAAGCATGTTTTGAGAGATCTCAACCCTCCCCCTATACCTCTAGCCAATGTAGAATAAAGAAACACATAGCAATGGGCACAGTAAAACTCAGTTTAAAAGAAGTCCGAGTCTGATGTCAGAATAGGTAACAAAAGAAACTAAGCAAAATGACAATGATACATAAATGAACAAAGGACTACTAGCAGTTACTGACATACCAGCTCCAGACCTCAATAAAACTGATTGAAAGATTATGTCTTCATCATATGAAAATCAAGTACAATCCCTCCCGTTAGGGGTTTAGTATCATACCATCATAAAATATATGAGAAGAACATAACCCGTATCATGCCAACAACTGGTTTTAGAATAAATGTGTTTATTTCCGATGCAAAGACCCTATGAGTGAATCAATATTAATACCAGAATATGCAATCCTTAATGACTTGACAACAGTATCGTAACTATATCCTTTCCGAATAAGTCTTTTTAAAGGTTTGGTTAGCTTTTGAGGTGACCTGCCAGTCTGACATGTACACCTTACAATCATTCTATACACCAAACATAGTTGACTTATCACTTTTAGTATCTGAGATACGGACTTGACCACCAAACTTTAACCTTGATCACTGATCCATGAAATGAGGTCGACATCAGGTGAACCCTGTATGACAGACATGTAGGCATTGCAAGGAACCCATATACCAAATATAGCTATCTTATTACTCATAATAATTGAGAAATTCACATGACATAAAAAATATTTGTTCAAGCAGTCGCTGAACCATGAAAATGAGGTCAAGGACAATGGACATATGACAGATGGAAACTTTGTAACATAAGGTATCTGTTTACAAGGTATGAAGCATTCAGGTCTTCTTCCTTCTCAAAAATAAAGCTTTTAACAAATAGTTTACGCCATGGCCGCCAGATTGTAATCCCTGTGTCTCGCATTCTGCGACTTTAATAGAAGGCAAGGCAAAAAATAATCAAATGATTGGGAATAGTATAAATCGAATAAGAATTAGATAAATAAATGTATATATAAAATCTTTATGCATGTGTTTACTCTGAAAACTTTATCTCTGAAACATTTCCTATCAGAAGTTCCTCTATTACCATGGCAAACTTAAATGCTTAACTTTTATAAAATGTTTAAAACTATTATTGTAATTATTCTGCTCATTCTGGGTGCAATCATTGTCAATAAAATATTTGTTTGTCAGTTTCACTCTTTCTTAAATTATTTTTGCAAACTTACACATCCATAAAATTCTGTGTGTCAGCATAGTATGCTTGTAGTGGGTGAATCTCATCAAAATCAACACCATATTCATCCCAGAAGTTGGTGAATGGATTACCTACAAAATATACAACTCAGTATTAAAACATCTGATTATTGTAAACTCAGAAATTAATGCCTGCATTTTTTATTGCATATCCTTGACCTCTGGCAAAAATATGAAATCTAATTGATGTGATTTCAAACTTTTATGAAGGAAAATCGCAACTGAAATTATGAATGCGAGTTTTTATTATTGTAAACCTGATGCTTTCGCATTTTATGCACTAACAAAAACATCTCAATGATTGCTGAATTTACAGTATACTGTTATAAAACTATGCTAAAAGAATGCCAATTTTGATTGTTTACAGATGTTTAGCCTGTAAAGGTAAGATCCTGTCTCCTGACCCATCAAAAGATAAATCAAATAAATATCCACAAAGAACAAGGATGTATATAAAATCAGGCTGTTTTGCCTTCATATCAATTATTATGATCATGGAAAGTATAGAACAAAAATTAAATTTTCCACAGATAAAATGGAATTCAATGTTTATTTCATTTGTAAAAATGACCTTCCTAAAGTATGGTATAAAATATCCTTTCACTTTCATATATGTTTCACTTGCCCTTAGTGTCAGGAAGTTCTTTTGTTAAATGTTCCAATTTTTGTAATAGAAAACCATATCCCCTTTCACTTATTTACCTGTGATGTGGGTCACACAGTTGAGAGTTTACTTCATTATTCATTCATCACACCTATTAAGACTGTGAATTTTTTTTTTGTTTAGAGTTCATCATTTTTAAACTACTTTGTCATCATGTATATTGGATGAGTACAATTTTGTGGAATAATCATTTGTTTGTAGGTTTTTTAAATTGTTTTTTTTTTCAAACTTTCACTGTAATAAATTAATGATAATATACTTTTTTGTTTATTTTTTCATGAACCATGTCATCTTAAAAATGAGTACAGTGTGGTTTAACAACAAGACTTTCAATTTAAAAGTACAAACTGTACAATTATACAATGAAACCATCTCAAGGACTAAAAAATTTGTTAAGAATATACAGGTTTAAAATACATAATATATCATAATCATAATATACAAATGAAAATATTGATGACTGTATAAAGGGACTTTGGAGTCAGTCTGGTTTAGACAGGTTTCTGGTTGTCAGGATAGGGTTGAGACAAGTTTCACTGTACAACAATTTAATAGTCACTGAGGAATGTTACCAATAGTAAATATTCCATGGTATGAAATTAATGTAATGTGGCTTTAAAACAAAGACATTCACAGTAATTAAATGGGGTATTGTTGTCATTTTAAAAGATTTGCCATACAATTAAAGGTTTATAGCACAAATATTGGTGAATAATATCACTCATTTAATAATTTAATTTTGGATGTAACGCGTCTTCTGATTGGCTGACGTTGTTTTGTTTATCAGCTCATAGACATAATTTTGTCATGTGACCGTGACGTCATCAACGTTTTTTCATGGTTTACTCAGGTTTAAAATGGAATTTAGAATTAAATTATAAGAAATGACTGTAATATTTTTTCTGTTTTTACATAAAAAATGTGGTGCACACTTTAAAATAACCCGCTACGCGGGTTATTCAGTATGCACCACATTTTGGATGTTATTTCTTCATAGACAGAAAAAATATTACAGCCATTCATTAAATATTCCCAAATATTAGTGTAATAACCATGTAATATACAGTCAATATTTTGGAAATTCATTCTTAATCATGTAGTTAATACCATTCTTCATTTCACAAGTTCCACCCCTTGGTGCATAACAAAATCCAGTTCTTTTCCCTACAGGCCAGTGTTCAGAGGCAAGTTCTGCCATAAAGTCTTCTGCTAATATAACTCTGTGATATTCTTCTAATGGTTCCACTTTAAACCATTCATCAAATGGTACGTTTATCTGGATAAAAGAAGAAATTGTATACATTTTGTTTTCATATGGAAAGGGAGGCAACTACAAAATAAACTACAAAAATAAAGAACAATATGTCAGTTATGTTATGTCTTATCATAGCAGTCTATAAAATAATTAGAATGAAAAATGATGTTTCAATATGACAATAAAAAAAAACAAAAAAACACAGCTTATTAGAAATCTGGTGTTCTTTCAATAGTAAGCATTGCTTAACAATCTATAAAACAAACAAACTTAAAATCGATATGTAGGCCTTATGCTTCCTCATATCTTATAAAAATGTCAAATGAATATCCCCATTGATAAGCAAGTTTTCAATAAAATGTTATTTCAAACAATGATTTTATCACAAAAACTTTCTTTCATTAACACTTACATAGGTTAAATAATTGGTATCACATCAGTGTTAAAGATTTTTATCAAACAGCTAATCAATACTGGCCTTACATATGTTCTAAATGCTGGTAAAACAAGAGTACGATTGACTGCCTTAGTAAATGATAATCCTCCGAGAAAATGGTCTGCCTGATTACCAAATCTTCCTGTGTATATAACAAATAATGTTAATCATACTCATTGTCCCAACAAAACAAATTAAATCAATCATTCATATAAAAAAAATAACCAAATAAATACTATTTGCTAAACATGTATCCAGTAGACAAGTATTGTCAATACAATTATTCTTCTTCTTTTAAATAATGTAGTTCTATCAATTTTCTTCAAGCCTATTAGATCAAACAATGAAATCATAAATTGGAAAATAAAGAAATAATTAAAATCATAAGTAACATTCTCTTCCTTCATAATATTTTAAGTCAAGATTGTAAAACAATATTTTAAATAAAAGACAGTCTGAGACCACCTTCAAACAACAACAAGCAACTTTGAACTAGTATATACCACCTACAATTGCTCTTTGATTCTACTATAAGTATTTGGCTAGTTATAAAAGGGATATGACATAAATATGAATTACAGTGACAAATAAAGTTTAACATTGCAAATATTCTAAGTACACTTTTATGTTAGAATCACCAATTTGTTACTTTTGTTAATTGTATTTATGCTTGCACTTTTATTTTAATATTATTATAAAACCAGTATAGAATTAAAAGTTTTTCCTGTACTGATTTTATCATATCTTTTTCAGTACCTTTGAGATTCAATTATTCCATTTGTCTAGATCAAAAGGGGGAGGGTTGAGATAAAAACAATCAACACTCCCTTGATGCTGTGAGTCAGCCCATTTTACTTGGTCATAAAAGAAATCCAGCATATCAGTACACGGTAATTATTACAGTAAATCATTTCTTTATCAAATTTCTTCAAAGTAGTTTTTGGAAGTTCTCTTTTCAAATAATGAAAAGTATCTACATGCATCTTGGTTAAAAATCTCTAACTATTGTAAATCTTATGATAGCAGAATTTTGTCATTTAACAGACACATGATCAAAATTGAAATATAAAGCTTGTGAATGTCAACTGATCCAATTTTTTTTAACTGAGATTTAATTATCTCCCTTTTGTACAATGTATATTTAAAAAAAGTGTGTGAAATCATCTTTGATACGAGTACAAAGCTTGCATTGAATTATATTCAATTACAGAAAATACTATCTTAACGTCTTATCCACTGTTTAAAAATTATATCTTACCTTTTTTTACTTCAAATTGTACAGGCCAACAATTTATAAATTTTCCTAGATTTTAGGACTTAGGATATATGCAAGTGTATTTGATTAAAATAGTATTCTAATATGATGTTTTACAAAATCTTTGAGTACACATTCTTGGTAAAATACAAAACTACTGTATGCCAGCTGATCTGCAACGTCAGGATTTGTTTGGGCTGTTCAAATCATACTTCCACGTCTTTTGCTGTTTATGAATGAGTTACCCGAGATCAATCTGTGTAAACGACGTCACTGAACGATTGACTCTTAACTGTGATGTCAGAATATAAGCCTTCTACCCGAAAACCCATGAATGTAAAAGTCCTCAGAAAATTGAAACATTAACCATCGAAATGAAAGCCCATTTTCTTAAATAAAAGTAAGATTTTTAAAATTTGTTCAGAAATCAAGTTCAAGTTACTATACAAATGAAACCGATATAGGTATAAAATATTTTTTGTGGTTTGAATAGACAAATACTTTTTTGGAAGGAATGCACATCCAACCTTCTTCATTGGACAGTGTAACAAAGATTAATTCCTTCTTTTCCGACAGAAACGCATACAATAATTCATTTTCATGGTCATTTTACTTTATCAAAATTTGTTTAAGTATGTTATTGTAATTTGTTTAAGCTTGTCATTAATTCAGTTTTCTCCGTCTTTTACGTCTTTTTTATTGATGTAAAAGACGTAAAAGACGAAGAAAACTGAATTAAATAGTGTGTTCAATTACAGGAACAGCAAATACTTGCCTCTAGAGGCTGCCCTCCACTTTAAGCGCTTCAATTCAAAAGAATTGCTGTCTTTGTCCTATTAGAAATGCAAACAATTAATAGGGGCTTGAATTTATATTGATTTAACCAGGGGTTGGCCTTTTATGCCGATATTTTACCCTTCAATATCTCTAGTGGTAAAATATTAAGCATAAAGGGCCTTCAATATAAATTTATGCCCCATTAATTATTTCCCAATTAATCTGCTTTACTTAAAATCTATTTTATTGTTACATCAAAGGGTGATTTACCTGACAAAAAGTAGGTTATAGATGATGGTGTTTTATACTTTATGCACATCTACAGCTCTGGCTGATTTAGAGCTTGACACATTGTTAAAACAGTTGTCTATTGTTGAAGGTTGTACTTTAAGATGTTTTCGTCATTGGGTTACTGTCTCATTGAGGTTTATCACACATCCTTTTATTCTTAATTTCTATCACATATGAATTATTTGGAGATAGCATTTATGGATTGGAATCTTAAGCCAAAACTTTAACAAAATCTCTTATTTTTGAAGTATTTTTTTATACTGTTCAACAGTAGCATACTGAAAAGTTGAGGTTCCTAAAAGCCTGAACTGCTCACCTTGCCAAACTATTTATTCTATTTATAGGCAAAAAAGTTAAAATTGTTGAAACATTTCCTATTAAGGGGAATAACACCTATACTGTTCATTTTGGAAGAAACAGAATAATGTGTTTCTTGACATTTAGAACATTTTTCTCACTGTCAGATTTGCTCTATCTAATACAAATTCTTATATGGGTGTATAGATGTTAGACATCTTGCATCCATGTTGAATGGTTGACAAAGACAGTATCAAAAATATAACCTTTATGAAGACCAATGAACAATGGAATGAGGTCAAATGACTGCTGCCAGAGACACATGTTTACCTTACAATAATTCAATTGAGTGAATTTGTTACTTATGGTAACTAAAATACTGACCTAATCAGAACAACTGAATGCTGACTGCAATGGCTGAACCATTAATATGAGGTCAATAACTACTGACAGAAACTAAGGATCATATGCCTATTAAAAAATATGGTGTACCAAGCTCCTCTGATTTCTGAATTATCAAGACTTAAATAATTTCTTGTCATTCTATGTCATTAAAACTCAACAAAACTTTGACCTCCTTATTGAAAACTGCACATCAGTCATCCTAAAAGCCTTTTGTAATCCTTTGATAATCTAAAATTTACAGAAGAGTACAGACTATATAGAATGTAAACAATATAATATCTTTTAAGTCATCAGACTTACCTGTACTGTTAAATAAAGCCCATCAGTATAGAAGAGTCTACTAAAGCAGTAGTCTCAGCTGAGTATAGAAACATACAAATTAGTGATTCATTGTAAGACAACTTACACATACAAAGACAGAAAAATACATAGCCATTTTCATAGTAAACAAACTTACCCATACACAAACAGAAAATACACATAACCAAGTAAACAAACTTAATTACCCATACACAGACAGAAAAATACATAACCATTTTCATGGTAAACAAACTTACCCATACACAGACATAAAAATACATAACCATTTTCATGGTAAACAAACTTACCCATACACAGACAGAAAAATACATAACCATTTTCATAGTAAACAAACTTACCCATACACAGACAGAAAAATACATAACCAAGTAAAAAAACTTTCCCATACACAGACAGAAAAATACATAACCATTTTCATAGTAAACAAACTTACCCATACACAGACAGAAAAATACATGGCCATTTTCATAGTAAACAAACTTACACATACACAGACAGAAAAATAGATGGCCATTTTCATAGTAAACAAACTTTCCCATACACAGACAGAAAAATACATAACCATTTTTATAGTAAACAAACTTACCCATACACAGACAGAAAAATACATAACCATTTTCATAGTAAACAAACTTTTCCATACACAGACAGAAAAATACATAATCATTTTCATAGTAAACAAACTTTCCCATACACAGACAGAAAAATACATATCCATTTTCATAGTAAACAAACTTACCCATACACAGACAGAAAAATACATATCCATTTTTATAGTAAACAAACTTACCCATACACAGACAGAACAATACATAACCATTTTCATCCCAGTGATGGGTGGCTATAATACCAGTAACAAACAGTAGTGTGACTATCCATACCCATAAAGCCATGTTTTATATATTGATCTGTAAAAGAATTCACTCATTTTATATATAATAGAACATGTAAGTCAAAATGTAGGTAATTAACCATATCTGTCATGAAATTTGAATCACATTAGAAGAGTAGTTACAAAGGAAATATCTAAAATGATTTCAATATTAACAACAGCTGACACACTTAAATGTCTCTGCATTATTTTCATGGGAAATGATTGATTGATTTGATTGTTGGTTGCTTAACATCCAGTGGCAATCATGGGAATTGAATTTTCAAACTTAGGTCTTAAGAAACCTTTAATGTGCACAGGGTACATGTAAATGCAATGAATTCACAATAAATATGAAATAGTTACATCAGCCGTGTATAAGTTCATAGATACAGACCTAAACCAAAAACTTTAGACAAAGAATACATATAATTTAGTCATAATTTCAGATTTTTATAAAAGTTTGTATGCATTTAGAACTGCATTAAATTTATAAAAAATATGTATAGCTTTTGTAATTCCAGAGATAAAATTAATCAAAAATTTGTGAACTAGATCAGTCATCACTGACATGAATATCAACATGTGATTTACTAGGGATGGGATGCAAAATTCCAGCAACAGCTGATAATATGGGTCATCTGATAATTATTTTTCAGTCAGACCGAAATATACATTGTATATATATCATCTTGTGTGATGATATGGGTCAAGTGATTTACTAGGGGTGTGATACAGAATTCAGTCAAGGGTTATATTGATATCTTTATGTGTGATAATTAAAGGTTTACTGTAAATTCAGAAATTATTGCGTGCATTTATTATTGCGATTTTGTTATTTTAGACTGCAATGCGATTTTAATTTTTGCGATATTGAGAAAAACCCTGTTTAATTCATATCAAAAATTTCAAAATGCGAGTTTAAATTATTGCAATTATTACCCTGTCGCATTTTTCGCAATAATAAAAACATCACAAAAATTTCTGAATTTACAGTTTTAGATATCGCTAGATACTAATTTGAGTTTTTTCATTTCAATATAAAAATTATAAATAAATGAGCCTTTGACATGTTCATTATCATCATTGAAATATAATGATAAGAGTTAATTCTTGAAAGTCTTTAAACCTATTTGTCTTATGATTAAAAAGTTTGCTTGATTGGAGAGTTCTGGACGATTGGAATCCACAAAATCCAATGGAAGATCAATAAATCAAACAGAACTGCTTTGACTTTCCAAATGCACTAAAAGAAAAGGTGGTGCAGAGAAGGGAATAGAACAGTTTGAGATACAATTATCTTTAGTGGAAATGCAGATAAAGTCAACTTCTTAGAGGCAAGACAAAAATCTTGTCAAGTTTCATAAAATTCCATGAAGGGTTGTCAAAAGTTATTTACATCTAAAAATTTTAACCACAGAATGAACCTTATTGTTGATGACACCAAAGGCCCCGTCAAACCAATATCTTTCTAAATTTACATAAAAGATCAACCTTAACTACCCAAAACACAGCCATAATAGACTCTTTGCAGATATCAGTATAATCTACCAGTCAATAAAATCACAAAAGACTGCCTCATACTCCAAGACAATCTTGAACCTGCTATACAATCATGACAATGGGAACAAGACTGGATTATGTCATTCCATCCTCACAAGTGTAATAATATGCAATATTAATATCAACTTAGAGAATTCCAGTTTACTCTAACTATAACAAGCACGGCTACATATAAGAACCTCAAAAATGCAAAATACCTACATTTGTAGGTACATGTATACACTTTCATGTAACCTAAATAGAAACATGCACATCCAGCAAACTGCAATGAAAGCAAACAAATCTCTGTGTTTTATCCAAAGAAATTTAAAGGTACAATCAGAAATAATTAAGGAAATCCCTTAAAAAACATTAATATTAAAGGCCTTAATAAAAATTTTGCTGCACTGTTTAGGACCCTCGCACAAATTAAAACATAAGATCACTAGATCAAGCAGCACAGTGCCATGCAGCAACAAAGACACTCAGAAAGTTTTAAATATTCTTGCTTTTCTAAAGCCATTTTTATTTAAAGACTGGAATTAAATACACTACAGCTCGGGTGGATTTTGCTTTGTCCACCGGCCCACCATGGGAGTGGGCACCAGGTGGGCAAAATTTGTACCTTGTCCACTCTCCCCACCTGTAGGAGTGGGCATTCAATTTCTTTTGTTTCATCTAAAGACTTGCAAGTACAATCACTTGAAAAAAGCAGATAAGCATTTGTAATCAATATTTTTACAAAAAAGAGATTATAGCTAGAGTGGGCACGGGTGGACTGCCCATGGTGGGCCGGTGGAAAAAGCAAAATCCACACGGGCTGTTGTGTAGCTACAGAAATTACCAAAAATGCTTCTTTAGAAAATTTCAAGAATGCCCTCACTAATGAGGTGCTCCTCAATACTTACACACCTGCAATAAAATTGAGAATGGAAATGGGGAATGTGTCAGAGACAACAACCCAGAAAAGAGCAGAAAACAGATTACCTGCTATTATCTTAATAAAAAAAAATTGAAAACCATACAAATGTAATTCTAACAAGAGTGCACACGCTGAAATGTCTCGCCTTCTTTACTAATCATTGATATTATGTTGATAGTTCTAAATATAAAGCTTTACTACAACTATCACATAAACTTAACATGATCCAAGAAAATGAGGTCAAGGTCATATAAACCAAACAAGAAATACATGTACACCTTACAATCATTCAATACACTAAATATAGTTGACCTATTGCTTATAGTTTCTAAGATACAGACTTAACAAAGAAAACTAAACATTGACTAATGAACCATGAAAATTAGGTCAAGGTCAGATAAACCATGCCAGGCAGACATGTACATCTTGCAATCCTTCCATACAACAAATATAGTTGACCTATTGCTTATAGTAATAGAAAAACAGACCAAAACACAAAAACTTAACACTGAGCAATGAACCGTGAAAATGAGGTCAAGGTCAAATAAAACCGGCCAGACTGACATGTACAGCATAAAATATTTCCATACACCAAATATAGTTGACCTATTGCATATAGTATTAGAAAAAAAGACCAAAACTCAAAAAATTTAACATTGACCACTGAACCATGAAAATGAGGTCAAGGTCAGAAGACACCTGCCAGCTAGACATGTACACCTTACAATCATTCTATACACCAAATATAGTAGACCTATTGCATATAGTATAAGAAAAACAGACCAAAACACAAAAACTTAACTATAACCACTGAACCATGAAAATGAGGTCAAGGTCAGATGACACCTGCCAGTTGGACATGTACACCTTAGAGTCCTTCCATACACCAAATATGCTAGACCTATTGCTTCTAGTATCTGAGATATGGACTTGACCACCAAAACTTAACCTTGTTCACTGATCCATGAAATGAGGTCGAGGTCAAGTGAAAACTGTCTGACGAGCATTAGGACTTTGCAAGGTACGAACATACCAAATATAGTTATCCTATTACTTATTATAAGAGAGAAATTAACATTACAAAAAATCTTAACCTTTTTTTCAAGTAGTCGCTGAACCATGAAAATGAGGTCATGGACAATGGACATGTGACAGTCGGAAACTTCGTAACATAATGCATCTATATACAAAGTATGAAGCATACAGGTCTTCCACCTTCTAAAATACAAAGCTTTAAGAAGTGAGCTAACGCCGCCACGGCCGCCGACGGATCACTATCCCTATGTCAAGCTTTCTGCGACAAAAGTCGCAGACTCGACAAAAACAAAAGAAAATAGTAAAAAAATTATGTTATTCTTATAACATGTATAAATAAAGTTAAAAAAAAAAATATTAAACAAAACATTCTAAAAGTTATGTTTTGTTTTCTAAATTATATATTTGGTAGCTTTATACCAGGCATGTGCTGGAAAGTAAGCATCAGTATGTTGATGGTTTTCTGTGATTGATTATTTGATTGTTGGTTACTTAACGTCTAGTGGTTCTGTGATTAAAGAAGAAAAGAAGAGCTTCTAGAAATAAGAAGATATGTGGTATGAGTGCCAATGAGACAACTCTCCATCCAAGTCACAATGTGTAAAAAGTAAACAATTATAGGTCAAAATACGGCCTTCAACACGGAGCCTTGACTCATACCGAACAGCAAGCTACATGTATAAAGGGCCCCAAAATGACTAGTGTAAAACAATTCAAACAGGAAAACCAACAGTCTAATCTACATAAAAAACAAGAAACACTTATGAACCACATCAACAAATGACAACCACTGAAACAGGTTCCTGACTTAGGACAGGTGCAAACAAATGCAGCAGGTTTAAACGTTTTAACAGGCGCCAACCTTCACCCTAACCTGAAATAGTAGTGTAACATTACAACATAGAAAGACACACTATAAAATATCAATTGAAATGGATTAACTCAATCAGAAAGACCTATAAACATACACTAAACAAATAAATTTTATCTATGACACAATGTCAAAAAGACAACTATAACCTTGTCTGTTTTAGGGAGCTACAATTTGATTTTTATGGGGGCTAGGATGAAATTTGAAAAAAATAGGTAGGACAGGAGTTTTGAGTAAAAAAAAGGCAGGATGAGACACTTGCAAAAAAAAAATCAGGATGACAATTTGGGTAAAAAAAAGTCAGGATAAACTGTAAAAAAAAAAGGCAGGATCGAATAGAGTGAAAAATAAAAAGGCAGGACAGAGATTACAACTAAAAAAAAATTAAGGACAAAATTTCATCCTAGCCCCCCCCTCCCATAAAAATCAAATGGTAGCTCCCTTACAAGAAAAAAAGTGGTCTTCAGATTATGTTTCTCAGGACATGTAGTTCTGTGTTAAAATTTGAATGACAGGCAATGTGTGATAAAGGGGTAATACTTTAGTGGCAATCATATTTTAGTGATTTAATCTGGGACTATTATACTAAATAGTTAGTATAATAGTCCCAGATTTAATCTATATGTTTCAGTCTTTTACAGTTTCCACTGAGACTACTATAACACAGGTACAAGACAAGATTTTTTAATATATATGTATATTTACTGATTGTATTCATTATATATATATATACATATTAAAAAATTCTCGTCTTGTACCTGTGTACTATTACACATGTTATAGAAGTCTCAGCCTCAGGCTTCATCCATCATTTCCGCATATGCAATGATATGCCCGCATTATGATATGGCACTTTACTATCAACTTGTAAGATAAAAAATGTGATGACAAAAATAACTAGGGCCTAATCGGTGAGAAATTAACTATACATTCTAACCCTATCAAATGTTGCCTATGTGGCACAGTGGCCAGTGCAAGAATGAACTTGATTTGTACTAGCGGTTTCCAAGATAATTGATGATATGATGGAACTATTGGGGACAGGGGATGTAAACTGGTATCGTTACTGTTTCTTGTAGCTTCTTCTTTTCTGTATAAATTTCCTTTCAAAGGAACACCAAGGATTAGTGCAGGTATATCAATTTTATATACGTTACTGTTTTTATTATTGTTCCATAAAGAAATACCTGAATAATGAAATGTTTTCTTCATTAAATCAGATTTTTGTCAATCTAGAAACATATTTACAACGACAGTAGTCATGATTTCACAAAAGAGAATACATTTGATGAAATCCGGGACATATATAATTCAGTATCAATTATGGACTTTTGATAACTTTATGTAATATTATAATACATGTCTCTGATGAAACGATTTAAAATAGCTCATAAATGTTCGAATCTGGAGCATAATTGGTAATACATATATACACATCTACACTCAAATATTTAATTATACGATTCTTCCACAGGCACTTGTCTCAGAAAAAAAATTCCTGTTATATTAAGGTATTTAGGAAATTTTTTTCTGAGACGAGTGCTGTGGATTCTTCATAGTAAGCTAACTAAATTATTTAAATACTCAAAACGGGAAACTTTGATAATTGCAGCCTCTTTAAGTTTTAAAAGTGGCAAAAGCTTTTGATATTGTAAACCATCCAATTTTATTATCAAAATTAAAAATGTATAAGATTGATACTCTTTCTTTAAAATAGTTCAAATCATGTTTATCAAACAGGTCTAAACAACAACATATCTTCAGGTAAAGAAGTAAAACTTGGTGTACCGCAGGGCAGTATTCTATGCCCTTTATTATTTCTTTTATACATTAATGATCTCCCACTTCAACTAAATCATACAAAGCCTGATTTGTATCACTTAAATACTCCTCAAATTCCGTTAATGACATATGTGATAAACTTAGTGACGATATAGCAACTTTTAAAATATGGTGTGAAAATAATAATATGATTTTTAAATATTGAAAAATCCGAATCTATGTTAGTTGGGTCACATAGGAAGCTTCAAAGCATACAAGAAACATTAAAGATAGAATACAGAGGAATTATTTTACAAAATATAAACAGTGAAAAATTACTTGGCATTTTAATCGATTAAAGTCTGTCATGGAATCAACAAATAAACAAAGAATGAACTGTAATTTAAACTAGACTAGGTTTACTAAATCGATTGAAGCATTATATTCCACAAAAAGGTTTATAGATATAAGAAGATGTGGTATGAGTGCCAATGAGACAACTCTCCATCCAAGTCACAATTTGTAAAAGTAAACCATTATAGGTCGGAGTACGGCCTTCAACACGGAGCCTTGGCTCACACCGAACAGCAAGCTATAAAGGGCCCCAAAAATGACTAGTGTAAAACCATTCAAACAGGAAAACCAACGGTCTAATCTATATAAAAGCCAGAAACAAGAAACACTTATGAACCACATCAACAAACGACAACCACTGAACATCAGGATCCTGACTTAGGACAGGTGCAAACAAATGCAGCGGGTTTAAACGTTTTAATAGGCGCCAACCTTCACCCTACCTGAAACAATAGTGTAAAATCACAACATAGAAAGACACACTATAAAATATCAATTGAAATGGCTTAATTCAATCAAAAGACATATTAACAACAACAAGTGAACATACACTGAACGAATGAATTTGATTTATGACACAATGTAAATACAAAATTAATAAAACAAGGGGATTAGATTTAAAACAATATCAGAAAGACAACCATAACCATGGACAAAATGCCGCCAAAAAAATAACGTGCACAGGTAAATAAAAATAATTTTGTTGTAAGGTATACATGGAGTACGGAAATAATTTTTACGAAATAAATAATTCTGTTGTTCCTAGTACGAGAACAAAAGTGTTTATTTTATAATGGATATGTACTTCCTTTCTTTGATTATTGCTGTACAATATGGACAGAAACAAGTAATTCAAATATCGAAAAAATGTTAAAATTACAGATAAGGGCAGCCAGGATCATTCTTAACAAAGCATATGATACACCGTCAAAAACGTTTTTCAAACAATTAGGATGGTTAAATTTTCAAAAAAGTATCATATATCACAAAGAAGTATTAATGTATAAGTGTGTAAATAGTATTGCACCTGATTATCTGTGTCTGTTATTCAACAATAACCAAAATGTCAATGCAAGATATTCTTTGCGTTCATCAGACAACAGTTGTCTTTTCATACCACGTCCGCGAACAAATTTTATGAAAAAGACATTTCAATATTCCGGTACTGTTCTTTGGAATAAGATAAAACAAAGATAGAACAGTCCAAACAAAGGTATCATAATTTCATGCTTTTAGAACAAAAAAGCTAATTATCAAATTCATATACACATGTAAAACCAACGAAATAATGAATATCACAGAAATTTATCTATAGTCTAAAATCCATATATTTGTCTGGTACATCATTAAGGAAATATGTTCATGAAACGTAACACTAAGTCTTATAATCTGTATGTTTTCACCATTTGTTTTGCATAGTAAGTTGTGTTTATATAAATGATCTAAATGTAGTAGAGGGTAAATTTCATATTTTTTTATTATTTCTGTTTTTGTTAACGCTATACAACTTGTAAATTGTATGTTTATGCATACTATACTGATGAACTGTACTGTTCAAAGTAATAAAGAATTGAAAAATGTATTATTAGTTACATAGTGTGCTAGTGACCTAATACGATATATATGGGGTCAGTAAATTCCATATGGGGTGAGAGCTTAGCTTCGCTCTCACCCCATATGGAATTTACTGACCCCATATATATCGTATTAGGTCACTAGCACACTATGTAACGAATTTATCTTACCGACTATCTTAACATGTGGTATTTAGACGAGTGTCCTATCAAAGTGATCAAGTCTTCAATACCGTTAGTATTAAGAACCTACTTCCATTGGTCTATACAAAAACAAATGCCAACAATAACAACTTGTTAGCTTTAAATGGGTTTTATGAATTTATTTCAATCGTTCATCATCAACTTTTTCGTCTGTTGAAACCTTTAAGATTTTTCCTCAACACCGTGTTGTTTTTTATAAAGGGACGTAACACCACTATACTAGCCGTGTATTGAAATAAGCCCCGCCTACTAATCCAATATGGAATATACACGGTCTCCACGCGGTTGCTTTTAACCAATCATATTCCTAGAAATGTTTAGGAGGTAAGATAAATGTATATATCATATTATTATGTTTTGAGTTATTCAGACGGCATCAGGGGGGATTAATATTGTACTAACTGATTTTACCCTTTTTTTTAAAAGCATTTATTATTATTATTATTATTATAAACTATATTATGTATAATAACAAAGTAATAGACTCTCATATCGAAAGCAAAATCTCAATTGACAAATCAAACCCATTCTGGACGATTTTGTTTTTAACCCAGAGCTATTTTTAACCATAAGCATTTATTTACTAAGACCACAAATTATAATATTTATTCCAAACTAGTAGCTTTTCAGACATGCCCGACATAATATAACTCTACATCTTTATACAATAGATCTATTTCGACTGTAATTCGTCAACACGAGTTAAGATTTGTCAATATTTGAAGAGACATTAGTTGACGAAATCAGCATCTAGTGCAATAACTGGTACCGTTTATATCATTTCTTACCTTTATACCGTTTACTTGTGCACAATGTATACATATTGATCATATCTGAATTTAATTTACTTTTACATCAGACACAACAGGCGATGAATGATGTACAGTAGTGTCATCTGCCGCGATATAAATCTAAATCACTGTGTCCAAACTATCATTTGAAGGGTAAATCATTTTAAAATGTGTTAAAGAAATAGCACAGGTAGAAGTGATGAACACCAAAAACGAATATCTTCTCGGGATGACCGAAAAGAAGCTAGCATAATCGGCTGCCACTTTCCACCATATAGATGCACTTTCACCATATAATTCAAAGTTTAGTTACCAAGGTAAACACATCTTTCACATCGAAATTGAAATACAAGTTGCAACAGATTGAGTTAAATCTGATTCATTTACATCCAGAAATTTGCGATGAAGGTAGGTTGATAACTAAAATTTACTTAAAGGCAAAAGAGATGATTTCTGCTTCAAAAATTGTGAACTTTTCATTTCTATGTAGCATCATTGCAGCAGCACCTGTGTATGAAGTATATATATCTCCCAGTTGATATGACATTTCAGGGTTTGGGTTTCCTCTCACGATTTCCTTAGTATAAAGTACAATTTCACTGCTAAAACGAAGCTAAAGAACCAATAATTACAAATGGTTTTAAAGTTGAAGTCATCACTTCAAAATTTTTTTGGATGTCATCGTGATTTGGTTGACCGCTTTGGAATATCTGTGTCACCGACGACCACGGATATGCTCAGATTGCAGAAGCCACAATAACGTCATCTTTTTGTTTCAATAGTGACATCAACGAATGCAGCTTTCGACGTACCCGATTAATGAAGACATGATAAGATATATATATCGCCTTTTCAAGACAGATAGAAGATTGAAATGCTGATATATGAAATTTACTAGTTTATAGTTATAATTCAAACAAGCAGTTAGTCTCTTTACTTCAAATATTCAACGACCACCCATTGCTGCATCGCCTTTCCGGTGTTTAATAGACACTATTAATCATTTGATCTCATCGTCAGGTCAAGAATAATTCAAATGGATCTTTCTTAGCATTTTATATGTGTGTTTTTTTTTAATTCGGACATCATTTTCCACAAGTGATTTAATATAAAAAGAGAGAATAGATACCAAGGGGGCAGTCAAAAATCATAAATACAGAAAACAAACGACCAAAGAGGAAACCGATGAATTAAAAACAACAATAACAAAACACTACCCTTAAAACAAATGATTGAGCAACACGAACCTCACCAAAAACTGGGGATGAAATCTGGTGTTCCTGAAGGATACGCAGCTCTTGCGCCACTAGCAGCATCCGTCGTGTTACTTATTATTGCAAGTAAAATACGATG